TTAGACGACTAGTACGCATTCGGCAACTCTCCCCTAAATATTCAGAGCGAGTTATTGCTTATGATACATAATAATAATACATTGATTTCGTCACGCGTTTCGTGTATGGGAAAATCGCATTATGCATAGAGACACGTCAATGGAAAACCCGGAAGTTCATTTCCTTAACATGGAAGAAATTTGCGTCAGCGATAGACGCGAAACACATTAATTCCAGACGACGCGACGTGTCGAACGTTCACTTCCGTGTTTGTCAATTAGCAACTATTTTTTAGGAAATTCTTAACTGCAATTTAATTTTCATCTCTCCGAGCAGTGTCACGAAGCTGAGAAACCGCCGCCTCCGCCATCTCAAGAATCCAGATGGGAGTTTCCTAGAGATAAGCTTAGATTACAGACAGTCCTCGGGCAAGGAAACTTCGGCCAGGTGAGAAGATACTTCTTGCGGCATCCCTATAAAAAAGGCAGCCTGTAATTTGCGGCTGTCGGAAAGATTTTAACGAAATACCTGAAGTCCATGCGGAAACGTAATCTTCGCGGCCAAGTTCAGCAGTTCCTTCTTCCGATATTTATCCTCAAGCGATTTTATCTATTCTTTTACCTACGCAATTCTATCCATGTTGATTTCGATAGTAATAACAGCTTTCGACGTATGCGATTTGAACATCGTACTTATTTATGAGATAATGGGTAGTTAGCGTAATACATTCGAATTGATTATGCAAAATTGTGAGAAAATGCGTAATCTATTGCGATAGAATTTTTTTCCTACTAATCAAAAGATGGCACAGCGATTGATATAATTGTTTTCTCATTGTGATTATAAATTTCCAATATAGTGACAATAGACATCTCTAATAACGTAAAACGAACCGGAAAAAAATTAAAATTCGCAATCTTAAATTATGGTTATCAATAATTGGCATTATTTAGATGGAATGCATTTAAAAAAAATGCAAGAGTAAATTAATTGCAAATCTTAAAGGGGGACAAAATCTTTTTAAAGCTTACAATTAATAAACACTTGAAATATGATTAATATGCAATATCAGGTGTGGAAGGCCGAAGCCGACGATTTGACAGGTCATCAAGGCACGACTCGATTAGTAGCAGTAAAAACCGTCAAAGAAGGCGCTTCTGATCGAGAGAAGGAAGACTTAGATCGAGAACTCGAAATCATGAAGCAATTGGGCAGTCATCCAAACGTCGTAACACTTTTAGGGTGCTGCACCGAAGAAGGTAAGTTATATATAATATTAATCTTGTTTGATATTTTTTCAATAAAAACATGATGCAGAACTTAAGCACAGCTATACAAGATATAAAAGATTGAAGTTATACAGGGTGTTAAAAAAAACTCATTCAGCATTTATATTTTATTATTATATGTAGACACCCTATATAAAAGATTGAAATTTTTATGAATTAGTATTAAAAGATTCATATTTTTTTAAAGTAAAGATATTATATATGTACGAATAATTTTCTAATTAATGATTAGACATTTAATTACATCCTCATTAATGTTTACAGTTCAATCAAAAATTTCATCCAAAATAGAATAAAAATTTTAAAAATGAATAAATAAACACACAAAAGTGAAAAAAGTCATATTTGATAAAAAAAGACGTTAATGCCTAATAGTATGTTTGAATGAATTTTACAATTTCAAGCAACAATAAAAAACCATAGGATAAATAATATTAATTTAATAGCCTTCTCAAACGTAATTGCTCGAACATCTAACCGAACGTAGTATAATCTCTTTTCAATTAACATAAAATTGCTTTCATCTTGAATCATTCCTGCATACTTTGTGTACGTGGCGCATCTGATCGTACAGTATAATCAACTGAGAGGAGAAATATACCATATGGCATCGACACGTACCGACGGTGCGACACGCATCGCGCAATTTCTCGCAAAAACGCATCCTTGCGCGATCCCTATTTCGATTTGCATCGGCGCTCAATCGGTGCTGCACCTGCAGCTGCACGCCGCAACTGTACTCGGTGAATCTTCCTCATTACCGTCACTTAACTACGACCTTGCATGTTGCCGCTCGCATACGGGCCTTGGCAACGTAAACTTTATAAAAACCGTTTTAAGTGCCGGCACTTCGACGCAGAAAAAAATGCACGGATCGCCGGTATATAGTAATTAAGTAATCACGTCCCGCCGAAGAGAGGGATATACAGATAGAACCGCGTCTGGATTATGACTCCTCCAATCAGGTCGCTGCCACTGCCTCCACCGCGATGCGTTCGCGATGCACTAGTCGTCCTTGCAATTTAATCGAAATTGGCAGACAGCTGCGAGTTAGCAACCTATTCTCATTATTCAAACTAATAAAATTTCCGTGAACGTCCCCCACGTGGTTAATAAATATTATAATTGAATAAAATAAAACAATAATCTCTATCGTGTGATCTCGTCGTGACTTAATTTACTTTACCAATATCTTAAACCGTTTAAATATGCCAAAACTACAAATGCCTCGAAAAAATTTTATCGCTTCTTCAAATCGCATATTTACGTCGGAAATTAATAATTAGCAATTGTAAAATATGCAAAATGCCTTTTCCATGTTTTACTGTTGTTGAATGACTCGTTTATGTTTTAAATGATTGCATAAGAAGACGCAATTACGCGGGAATTCGATTAAACGGTCAGCGTGAAAATGTTTGTCTTTCTGCGATTGTGTTTGCCTGGACGATAAATTAAACAGTCATTATGATAATTCTGTGAGAATTACTTTGTTTTGAAAAAGATTTTATCCGTTTCGTTTGCGTCGTTATTGTGCTTTAATAGGTAATTATAGTTAACATTTACAAACTTGAAAGCTGTAAATTAAATATTACTGTAAACAATGTATATATTATGTATTTTTTAACCAATGTTGTTTCTCCACGATGTTAAATAAAAATTGCTTGTCTCGAAATCTGGCTTTACGGACGGAAATAAATTATTAATATTTTTTCAATCAAAAAATAAATTTTCCACTTGATGCGACGCAATTGTTATTCCTTCATGCATAAGTTTGCGTAAAAACATCAGTGATTGCATCTACTTGCAAACAAAAGTGTAATCGACGTATAATTCCTTAGTTATTTCATCATATAATTGATTAAAAATCGCAGTATTCTGCTTCCACAATATCGAATCAAATAATCGAAGGCGCCGGAGCTTCATTATCGAAAGTATGTGCGTAACGAATTGGTAAATAATTTTCTTGCAGATAAATACTCCAATGGATTGTTCTTTCGAGGAACAATCTTTATTAGGAAAAAATTGCTTTTTACAAGAAAAAATTAAATATGCCTTTCCAGAACTTTAATCATTTTTAATAAACATAAGAAATGTATTTTTAAAATTCTTTATCGAAAAATTTGAATGTAGGAAATAATACTTTTGAATGGTGTTAAAAATTTTATTCCACATGTTATGTTCAAATCTATATTTCTCTTAATATATAAAGAATAACTTTTATGAAGAATAACTTTTATGAAAAAAAAAATATATATATATTGTCATTTACTGAGAGAAAATGGTTGCAATTACCATAGTTTACCTATAATTTATAGTCATTTTCGGTGTAAACTATGTACATTTTTGGGAGAATTATAAATGTATAATTATTATTACTAATATTATAGCGATAATAACGTAAAAAATAGAACTTCTAACCATAATTATTTTTATTATGTAATGGTCACATATTTTACTTAGTATAATATAGTATTACAAAATATATCTGGCAATATCCCTAAATTTAAACTCAAATATTATATAATAATTTTTGGAACAAACAGCATTTGTGTGTACGTATTATCTTTTTTTAAATTAGTGACAGACAAAAAAAACATATTGTCACAAATAAAAAATTAATTTGTTGAGTTTTGTATTTTCTGTAGGAGGCAAATTTGAAGATAGAGACATAAAAAAGATTCGAGCAATTTTGTACGTATCGAGATAAATCGGGGAGAGTCAGAGACCATTATACGTCTTTCTCCTCTTCCATGCGTTGTTCGATATCGTCATTCTCATCGTTCGTATAAATTTCCATACGCATCCCCGCGAAGCGCCTCGTTGTACAATGTGTTTATTAAGTGGGTATCCTCGCGATACGGCCGTTCAATTCGCGAATCAAAAGAGGCTAAATAAAAAAACGAGCGACGATACAATCGAGCGGATGATCAACTCATTTAAGTGCAAGAGTTCGATAACGTTACCATTCGCTTTGATTAATAAACTTATTTTGCTTTATTTCTATGAATTAATTAAAATAAATTATATATTAAAAATTCAGTCTCTATTAAATTTCTATTTCATTTAATATTGCTTAAAAAGTCAAGTTAGTTATAATAATCTCATTTTAATAAAACTTCTGTATAATTTTTTTTAAATACATTTTTTATTTATACATGGATTGTTTTTAGAGAAATTCTTCCTTAATAGAAATAAAACTCATCAATAAAATCTGGCGTTATACTTTTATTAAAGAAATATTAATGATCGTGTTAAAAATATTATCAATCATTTTAATATTTCCTGCTCTCATGAACAGCGAACGTAATAGAGCTAATCAATATTTAATTGTTGAAAAAGATCGTTCGCGAGGGAAATAAACTCGGGAAGGAAAGATATTCGTTCGGTAGGCCAACAATCATAACGATAAGATGCTCATCGTGGGCGCAGTAAAGGCCGAGATGATTGCTGCGGCAAATCGCTTAGAGGAGTGCCAGCATTTTGGGCATCGCTGATACATTCAGGGAGTGGGCCTTAAAGGATTCTCTTCACAGCTCTAACCTTCGCACAATGGCGAACGTAGAAAGTTCCTAACGGTCCAGGAACTCAAGACCACCGCATAAAATTTACGACATTTAAATTTCGGTCCCATCGCGTTTATCGTCGTTTGCGGCCACGTCCAAATTTCTTTCCGGCGACGTTCGTCAAAGGAAAGTCTTTTGACCGTTTTACGATCGCCGTTCAGACGAAAATAAACGTCTCACGTTGAACAGTCGTGCTTCGACCGCCAAGAGAATTATTAGCAGCCGGAGAACTGGGTGGTAGACATTAAAGATTCGATAAATTCTCATATTTCTAACATTTTAGGAAAGAAATTTGTCAATCTCAGAGAAAAACAAATTAAATTAAAATAAATTAGGTTCATAGTTTTTGTGGCTTTAAAAATAAATTCGATATAAGTAAAATGGCTATTACATAAGTCTCCGAGGTTAATTGTGCGTAAATTATGTATCCATAAAGCGATAAGATATAATTCGTAAACAATTGGCATGTACTTATCAAACGAAATTAACTGCAGGTTTCAGGTTTTGATAAGTACATTGCGAATTATATCTTATCGACTTATGAATTTATTAATTTAATTTATACACTAACAACCCTGGAAGCTCATATAAACATTTTATTTGTATCACAAATAAATTAATATTTCTAACATATCGCGTACATTGAATTTATGCATTAACGCTTGATGAAAACATCACAATTATGTTGAATTTTTTTTTATCGCGAAACGATTTCCTCCGGATAAAAAAAGCTTTGTATCCGATAAAAATGATGTGCCTCTCTTATTTAGCCATTGTCCGCTTTTTCTTTCTGTCCCTAATCGAGTTTCAGCGGCTTATTTGCTTTCACGACGACGTGTATGAAATAGGAGCGACATTAAGAAGCAGCATTCTTTAAAATCTGCGAACTCGGGAACGTAGTATCTTCTTTTTTGCCACGAATTCTTCATGTAGATAATATCTTGAAAATTTAAGAGACTGATAACATACTTAGGTTTAGGCTTTACGACGAAACTTGCCGTGTCATTAAATGAGTTCCTGATATTTTGCGTCATTTTTATTTCGGAAACGAATTGTTTCAAAGTTCAATAAAATTAATTGCACGTCATTATATTTTGCGTCAAAGTCTCAATGTTTAAAAACCGTCGATTTGCGTCAAAGTCTCAATGTCATTGCGTTTATAATTTTGTTTACAATCAACTATCTCCGGATGATTTGCATATACGATGCACGTGAGATTAAAAGAAGATCCGAGAGGAACTTAACGCACCAGCCGAATATATTTTAATTCTTGTCTGTGTCGTCGTTTCATCGTTTCGTCGAATGCATTTCTATCAGTCTTGCATGCGCAAAATATGATCTACGTCAAAATGAAACGTGACCGATATCACAGCCCACGTACTGCGCACTCGTATTGCTTCACATTCGTCACAGCTATTGTATCGTGCGCGTGCCAATCGATCGACATAGGCGCGGATCCGCAATTTTTGCAACGTAGAGTTCAACGAATTCAACACGCATATATTTTACAATGGAGGTTCAATATATCATATGTCAACGAGAGAACAAGCATTACCTTTGAAGAGAAACCTTTATATGCAGCGATCGTCAATTCAATATTTTTAATTATAATTCTTTATGTTTATAACATTTAAATTATAATATATATAAACATCTGGAAGCAAATTTTTAATTAACATGATTACGGAAATTAAGGTAATTGTAGTAAGAAAATCTTCAGGATTTGTGAATTTTCAAGAACGATTTTGCATATAAAATAATCCTTTTTATTTTCTTTTTAATAAGCAAATTTAGTAGTGATCTTTTTATTTGTATTTTTTTATTAATTGATAATTTCTGTCGGATTTAATAAAGCTTAATGTATACTGATACATTAATGTTCGTGTATAAGCATACATAGTACAGCGTGGTAATTGCGATACAACTTATTCAGTACAGTGTTACGGTATTAAATTGCTAATACACGTTAATAACGCGCGACTTAATACGATCGAAACAAGCGTTGTAAGTATTACGTTTAATCCAGTTTGAAAAACATACTAACGCGATTAATTCGGAGTGAGCAGCACACGCCTAACATATGCTACTTGGCGAACAAGAATTATTAGGGCGGATCGTAATATCGGTCTAATATAAGAATTACGATTCGACGCGCCGACAAAAGTGGCTCCATAAGTTACAATCAAGCGGGTACTACCTAAGCGAGGCTCTCCAAAGAGCGTGTCTCTTAAATTATTTCGAACGTGAAATATTTCTCCTACCCACTGTGTTCCTCTAATCGTTTGTACATCTTTTTATCCATCGTTACGATAAAAGCATGGCAAATAAATAAAAATATAATATAACTAAGTAAATTCTACAAAAAATGTATATAAAATTTTATTAAAGCAATAATTAAATATTCAAATGTTCCTTTTCAATTATACATATGTCGCTTATATTTGTTACAATAATGACATATAATTAAAAAAAAATAAAGTTTTCCAGAAAATGAGCTTGGATGTTTTGAATCATTAAAATTTGTCATTAATTTCCAAATATAATTTTAATGTAATAACTGAAAAATGAAAGTATGTTCTTTCTGTTTTTCTTTATATTTCTGTTCCTTTTCTGTAAGTAACTCCAAAATGACAACTTTTAAGTTATGTCGTCGTAGCAAATAAGCGATGTCATAATATTTGACGTCGATAATGATACACAGTTATTATATATACTGTAATTAATTTATTCCTTTTAATATTGAAATATATTAATATTTAAATGAATGATTATTTGAATAAAGTCATATTTTTATGATACGCAAAGTTCCATGTATAAGTTCGCAATTCAAACGCATCGATTATACATTTACATTTGTTTCGATAATGCAATGGATTGATGCAATCGGGAAAAATTCAATCAATCTTACGAAAGCGTAACGGAGGTCGAGAAAAATGCTGCGTTTCACATGACGATGTTTTCGATTTATTGAACCGCGGTAAAGTGTGCCACGAATGGTAAATCATTATTGAAGTAAATTCAATACACACGGTGTACCTCGTGATACTATACATTCGCTTCGTCTCTTGCAAATGGCATTACTCATTTGAATCGTGAGTAAGAGTTGATGAATAAGAGTTATCCTTCACTGATTGAGATCCCCTTATTCGAAACGCAGGAGTGACATGCTCCAATGCGCTCTTCCATGAATGAACATAAAGGATTTAATGCGTGATTTTCTCTGATTGCAGAGCCTCATTATCTCATACTGGAGTACGTCATGTACGGCAAACTGCTTGCGTACCTGCGCGATCACCGTACCAGACAGTACTTTTACAACTTCAGCGAGGATTCGGCAGCCTTGACATCCAGAGATCTCACGGTTTTCGGTTATTGCGTGGCCAGAGGCATGGAATATCTTGCGTCAAAAAAGGTATGAATATTTTCAAAATAAACAATATTATTTTAGACCGTTTTATGTGAGAACACAATCAAATATTAGCAATTACAAATTTTCAAAATAGTTGTTATTGTTGTAGTATAAACATTGGAGTTTATCAAAATTCAATACACTCTCTCTCTCTCTCTCTCTCTCTCTCTCTCTCTCTCTCTCTCTCAATACAATTAGAGTGATTGTGAGAGAATCAGTTAAACATTTGATTTTAATATTCATGAGAACGTCGCTGATATTCTTTTAATTTTTATATATTTTTATACATTTATGGAAAATATATTTATATGTGTGTGTGTGTGGGAGAAAAAGACAAGATAATCTCATATAATGAGTCTGCAAAGAATAGACAGCATTTTCTTTCGCTTGCTTTTCCGGTTTTTCTTTACGTGCATATTACATTGAACCTGAAAAAAGAAATTCGAAAAATATGAGAAGAAACACACGAGTTGCAATAAATCTTATTTTTAAATCCGATGATATCGACGCGCTCGATGTTGTATTTCTTGATGATATATATTTTTACTTTTTTTTATTATATAACATTTTCTGTCGTTTTATAATTTTACATAAATTGTATAGAAATATTTTCGCGCGTGCGCGAATTAATTAAAAATATTGTTATGATACATTTCTCATGTTCATTTTATAAATGGAAAAATAAACATAAAGAGAGAAATAAAATAAACATGTTTTTAATGTTTTTATTCTTTATATTTACGTATAATAGACGAACAGAATTTTAATGCATAACCGAAAGTTATTCATGCAGTTCTATTTACTAATATTTAATTTCTCTGAAATTTTTTAAAATAATTCTCTTTGTTTCGTATATTTAATACTATAAAGAACGTAATTCTGGAGTATTTATAAATAACGTTTCAGAAAAACGTTTTATTAGTAGAAATGATGTCATAAGAACACAAAATTTCACATTTCATCGATTATTATCGCATTGATAAATAATAATCTTGGTGATATTATGTTGCAATAATGCAAAATTATTAGGTCATCGTATTAACTTTTTTTGCACCGAGTTGTTTATTTATAAATTAAAAATCCGCAAGGTTTCGATATGACTAATTGTCGTTCGCCAAGGAGAAAAAATCCTCTCCAATGTAACAAAAATAATAAAATCTTGCATATATTATGCCGATATGTCTCCCCAATGACGTTACATCAATGATGCGAAATAGCTTACGATGTAACAATGCTAATTAATTTTTCTTTGTTGCGCACGACTTATTTATGAACCGAAGGTCCTCCAAGCTCCCTGACGTAGATAATTATTGTAGGAGAAAAATAATAGTTTCGCCTGACCGCTTGACAGTCACTTGACGGTTCGTCCCTCGCAATACTTTCCTTTTTTTTTGCGTTACATACTGCTGACAGGATAGGATGGTAGAACTAAACAAGCGAGGAAAGCAATCGCGATAAATTTTGGCGCGACACTTGGACGATCGATACACACCGCAGCCATTTAAAATGTTTAGATAGAGGCCCTCTCGTTAATCTCCCCACGATTTAACGGCTCTCCCTGTGCCGTAAGTATCGTCCGAACGATTCGTTCGGGACATCACCTCGAATACTCGTCGAAGGATATAAGTTTAGGTATGGATAGTTTTTTATACGTTCAAAGGAAACGTTTAGAGAGATACATTAGAGAGTATTGCATTTGATGGTTTAGTCAAGTAAAAAATTTTAAAATATTTTAGTAGATTGCAGTCAGTAATTATCAGCAATAGAATGCGAAATTTCTTGTGACAACGTGTTATGTTTCTTGAATCAATCAACATTTATTGCTTGCGACATGGCTACAAGTATTAACAATTTTACGGCCAATTATTAATATCCTATTACTTAAGAAATGTGGTGAATGATTTTTATCTTGCGCAATTTAAAACATAAGTAAAATTGCAGTTGTATGTGATGATGCGAATGTAAGAATTAATTCACATAATAATGCACAGTTGTATATATTCGTAGCTGAATCGCTTCGCAGTTTTAATATTTCTTCTTCATAAAAAATATTTTTGCACGGAGCACTTGTGATTTCGAAGTAATATCTCAATAATCTAGCATAATTTTATATTCAGTCATTTTGATTTGAAATTAGAAATTAAAAATCCCTGTCTGTAATTAATAATTTTATATTCAGTCATTTTGATTTGAAATTAAAAATTAAAAGGATGAATTTGAAAGAAAACCTCACGTAAAAAATATCTCAATAATATTCAGCACAATTTCTATAAAGATTCAGTAATTTTAATTTGAGAAATTAAATTTTATTTCTGTCTAGTTATAAGGATAGACCCAAAAAAAGATTTCGCGTAAACTTTTTTATGTATTTTGCGAAAAAAAGATGAAAAGAGAGTCTTTCGAGGACAGCTGGCAGTTGCTTGTGGAAGGTCGCAGGGAGCATCGACTGCACGACAAATAATCCGCTAATGATGTTTAAACTCAAACATTTTCACACGGTCGTAAAACTTCCACCACTTTGCGTTTGTTGAAGAATCGTTTCTACATGGAGATCTATGTCACTAGGTAAAAATTGAATTTTATATCTCATAAAGAATGAATTTGAGGATACTCGTCTAGTATTTCTTCATTTGATTCGAGAACAATAAATGGTCCTCAACAGCATTTTTACAATCTGTACGATTTGATTAGTTTCATGATTGAGATATTACGTTTTGTAGTCAAATGTAGAGTTTTATGTTATTCGTGCGTCATCAAGCAAATATTTACAACTCTAAAATTACAGAGAACGTCACCATAAAAATATAATTTTATTTCTAATTTTTATACATGAATATTAACTTCAGTTTTGATTTTTAAACTTTTATATAGTTGTTGTTAACAAAAATCTGACGTATTTAATGTAAGCGTGTTTTTGTTTATGAGAGATATGAGAAAAAAGTGTTTAATATTTGTGATCATATTGCATAGTAAAATAATTATAATTAGAAGTTTTATTTTTATAATTATTATTATTGCTATAATATTAGTGATAGTAGTAATATTTATAATTCTATTAAAAAATATATAGTTGATATCGGAGAACTGGCTATAAATTATAGTTAAATTATTATAATTGCAACTATTTTTTTTCTCTCAATGTACATAGATGATTTTATTACGGAATTTCTTAGACATTTGATCAATTGTCTTCCGATATAACATATCAGGACTGTAATACGCAGTCACGATAAATAAAAATTTAACGTCGGAATATTTGCCGTATGATACAAATATTGCAATGCGAACCGATATCCGAAAAAATTCCACCAACGTTTTGTCCAAACAACCGAGATGAAAATTTGTAATCGACGTGCTAATTTATTCCGCTCGATCTTCATATCATCGATTAAAACGGGAATGCTGTGAATAAAAGAATTCGGAGTAAATATTTTCTCATTCCCATTTCAAATTCTTGTACAAAGCGATTTATATTCCTCTACGCGTCGCAGAGAGGAAGAAGAAAATTTGCATGTATCTACGGAAGAGCGCTTGGCGACTTTGAAGAAGGATGCATCTGACGATTAATAGGCAATTAGGGAAATAAAGGAACCTCCCGCGAGCGCCCGATCGTCCTCGTCAAATGTCGAATTACCATTTTCCGTTCGTATAACTTCCAGGAAACGGCGCAACAAAAATTATTCTCTCGAGTTAATAGACAATTACATAGTCGCTAAATGATAGTGTACGCGTGCCGTACCAGCTGCATGGAAGAATATGCGTGGATGCATCCTAGATGCGCCGCTGCATTCAAGCAGAATTTTCAACGGCAAAGCGTTTCGTAACGTCGTATTTACATCATCTCGTTGCGTATAATAATTATCATCTTGGTTTCTCATTGCGGCTTTCGGAGTAGTTTAGCGAAACTTCATTTGACCGAATGCCACATTGAACGGTTAATTAAACTATATAATTAATATTAACAGCGAGGCTACACGAAATCGTGGCGCAACGCGAATGCCACGATTTTCGCGATCGAGTTACACATACCTTAACATTTTTTTATCATTTGAATTGTCTGTATTTGGTGATGTAAGAATACTGAGTGTAACATTCCCATTGATGTGCAGTTGTTCAAAATAATGACGACATTTGACCAATCAATAATAATTAGTCTCAAATTAAACATTAAAAATAATCAACATAAAATTATATCACGTCATACTATCAAATGTAAAAATTCGAATAATAAAAAAATGTGGAGATATATATAATTCGATTGTAAAAATTGTGATACTCGCGTTGCGCCACGATTTCGTGCAGCCTCGCCGTTACTATTAATTATATTTTACAAAAATTATATATCACAAAAATTTGGATGGACCGTTTAGGACACGTAAAATTTGTTAAATTTTACACGAATTTTGCAACTGTATAGACAATTGCGCAAATGTTTTTCCCACCTGTTATTACGTGGAAGATCAAAATCTGTTGATAAAATTTAGATTCCCGTTTATTTATTCTTCTGAGATATCCTTGCTTTCCAGTTATAGTTGAGCATATATTGACGGATTGACATTGCTAGATTTATTGAATCTACTCTCTCGAGGCTCTCGTGTCTGAAACAATATTTGTCTTCGCACAGACTTCGCACTGATCCTTACCTCTACTGCGAATCCCGTTTTGTCGCGCGAGCTCAGACTCAAGGCTGAGTTTTTCTCGAGACAATTGGCTGCACCGAACTCGTAATAGCGTGTAATTCCCCGTCATACAGACAAGTCCGTAAGCAATCGCACACGTAATGGAACATGCACCTCACGAGCACCGGTCGTTCATCGGTGACTTGATCCTCTCCTTTTCTGTGCAGATCATCCACCGCGACCTCGCCGCGAGAAATGTTCTCGTGGATCACAACAAGCTGTGCAAAATCGCTGACTTCGGCATGTCGAGGTTCGCCAATGAGGACGGTGAGGTGATCGAAACCAGACACGGTAGAAACGCCTTACCCATCCGATGGATGGCCCCCGAATCGTTGATCTACTCCCTGTTCACGACGAAGACCGACGTCTGGAGCTTTGGGATTCTGATGTGGGAGATCGTCACTTTAGGTGGGTATCTTCATCGTCCGTTTCGAGAACTGAATGACTTGCTTAGTTTTGATAGCTTGTTGTTAGAATAAACATTATTTTTTTATTGAAAGCCCTTTAAGATAAAAATAGAATATCTAAGAATCCATTTGATGTCTCGCTCTTATTATTATTTAATATGAAAATAAGGGTACGGGTATATACAGACACATTTATGCTAATAGTGTGGAGATATTGCTAAACGGTGTCATAAGTAACATAGCTGATAGCTCGCATGTCATATATTTTAATTATTTTATTCGTTTAATTTATCCGATTAATTATTTGATTAACAAATTAAAAAGGAAGAAAAGAATATTATCTATAAAATACATGATTAAATCGTTAACTTAAAAAAAAATTAATAAAAATATATCATTATATAAATATGTCATTCAACAACAATTTTCTAAATCTTCCACTTTTGTCGTCTTATATCAATTAGAGTGCGTTCTACTTAATGTTTGCAACGCTCGCATGCATCATTTCATCCTTGTTTAACATTTTAATGACAACAAAAAGTTAATAACAATAAAAAAATCTGATGCACATACACACGTACAACGTTAATCTTGAATATTCTATTTGAGATAGAAGAGAAAATATCCATTTTGTTCCTTGTTAAACTATTGTACGCTAATCAATGGACGATAGCTTCTTACCACGATCTATCATGTTGACATTCCGTCATAATAATCGCACCCTCTTCTGCTCTCTATTCAGGTTCAACACCGTACCCGGATATGACGGCGCGGGAAGTCATGCGAAACGTGCACAACGGTTATCGGTTGGAGAGGCCTTCGCACTGCCGAAGCGAGCTCTTCAGGGTGATATCCCGATGCTGGCACGCCGATCCCGACCGCAGGCCGGAGTTCCAGATTCTACGCAGGGATCTCGCCCAACTACTGGAGGACAACATGAACGGGCACTATGTGGACCTTGAGAGCTTCGCTTCCGAGTGCACCGACTGAGAGAGGTCGCCGGAGGAAACCTCAGGCTCATCGCACCGGGAAATTAATCCTGCAGAGAGGCTCACACGTTAGTGCTACGTGAGCAGGGAGATTTTCTGACGTATCTCGATTTTCGAAAGCGACTTTCCCTCGCGGGAAGAAAATATAATAGAGATTATCTTAAAGAGATACTCCTCTCGAATTCTACGAGGTTCTGGGATGCCCTTACTGTTTTTGACCTCCAAAATTCGTAGGAATTTTGTATGAAACATATTCTGTCTTTCGAGCAAAATACGTTGGAAAGTGGAATCGCCAATTGTGCTACTTAGGACAACCGAGAATTGTCAAGTTGTACATGGAAAGAACGATTTTGCTGAATTGAAAAATGAAAAAATTAGATATATATAAATCTGAAAATAATTCGATTTTTAAAATAATTATAAGAAACTCAAACATAAGTAATGTTGCAAAGAGTTTTGATATTCTAGCAATTAGCTTGAGCGTCCTACAGTTAGTTTGATAATTCAATAAAATTATTTACAGATTTGTATTTAGCTAAATTTTTCAATGCTTTAGCAAAACCGTTCTTTCAATGTACGAAATTCCCCGATTCGCACATAAAAATCGCTATCCGTCCATAAACTCGAATTCGTCCAGTATATGTATTTGCATGGGTCTCATTATCGTTGTGCAATAGCAGAGTGTAATGGCAAGATACGATGTTAATTTATTATTACGTGAATACGACATGTACTTGGCAGCAACGTTACGCTCATTTGTAATAATTACGAATGAACTTTTTGCCATCATTTGATGCTTCTATGATTTATTTGAAGTACATGTATAATTAATTATGCGATTTTTATCTTGCTAAAATACGCAGAACGTAGAACACAGGAACGCTGTAACACGCGATGCTGTGATAAATGATAAAAAAATTACATAAACGTGGTATTGAAGCGCAATGAAAGTTTAAAAAGTCCGCAAAAATGCAAGTATTCCATTTAGAATAGAGTGTTATTGGGTAAGTAGCATTTTTACAATTAGTCATACACGATATGTCGCTTGTAAATCTTTCGACATTTCGTCTTATTAATTTTATTTATAAACGAGAATGTATGCATTGAGCAATGATTGTGCGCAATTGATGATTTGAAGGCGTATTGTATTTTACAATATTGCTCAAAAGTTTCAATAAATGGTAAAATTTGTAGAGTAAAAATAGAAAAATTGTTCTCATGTTTTACATTAAACATTTATTAACTCAAATTATTTTCTGTTTGCTCACTTTTGTAATTTTCACCTTGTTTCAAGAATCGTAACAAACTCCTTGGACTATATATTTGCTCACTAGTATCTATGTTTTGAATTTCCTTATTTTTTCTTGGTGTAAAAACCAAATTAAGAATACAGTATGTCAACATTTTTTGTGTTTAAATATAAAAAGAACCCAATACATAAGTATTTGACAAATATTCACATTAAAAAAACAGTATTTATTGAATCTTTTAAGCGATATTGTACATAAATTATTTTTTTATTAAAAAAGTATTTCGATCAAGAGTCACATCAAAACACTAGCGGATATTATTTTTAGTAGAGAATTCTGCCTTAATTTTTTGATATTCATTTATTATTTTGAGCGAAAGAGAACCTAGCCAGAGATGATTGATCGATCAACATCGATCGACTAATCATTTTTGGGAAGGCAATTTACAGAAAGACTTTAGTTCTCCACGTTAAACTTGGATGACACAACGAGACTCAGCTCTGCGTCACGACTTGTACATACTGTGTCACTTGCGTAATATATACATATATATATACATATAAATATTATATTTACGATAAATATTATATTTGCCGGAAATCAAAAAGAGATGTCCCACTCTCCGAACCGCATTACTCGCCGTAATACTGTAACAATAATTCTCGCTATTAATCGTCGTTAGGTATGTGCATCTCGTGTTTCCAATCGCGCCCAATGCGTTTATACTTAATCATTCTAGTCTTTCGCGACGCGTTTTAGGGCGACGATCGATATCGATTACATCGCACGCTATTTTCCTTTTTTATTCTTCACTTTTATGAGCTTTACGAATTCGCTCAAAATTGCGACAGCATACATAATATACCGCAGTCGCTTAAAAAAAAACCGATTAAAGCCCCTGTTGTCAGTTGATTATTAAGTATTTTTTATCTTGCTATTTTCTCCTGCGACATCGTTTCCATTTTGATACGACTCGTCTCCGTTTGTCGTTACTATTTGAGACATCGCTCTCGATGAGATATATTGTATTTTGCGCATTACTGCCGCGAATAAAGTAGTTGCGACCAACACTGTATGTAGACTCGATTGTATTAAGAACTTTTGTCAGTAAACATTGTGAGAAAATTCAACTGTTACGTATTTTATTCAATTTCATTAAAATTTAACATACGATAACATGTTATTTCGGCATTTTTCAGATTTGACAAAAATTATACCTTTACTGAAAATTTGTCTCAGAATTTTTTATATAATTTTTCAAAATTTTTATATAAATTTCAGATTTTCAGAAGTACCGAAAAAGTCTACATCTTTTATAGAATTCTTTATATACTATATATAAATTCTGAAATATTCTCAGATTTCTCATTCTATAATTTCCGATGAAATGAAATTTGAAAAAGTTTATAGAGTATTTTTTTTTAAATTATAAAATGAAAAGCTTAGAATATTTCAGAATTCACGTACATGAAAAATTCTATGAAAAGAAGTAGACTTTCTCAGTATTTCTGAAAAGTGTTCTAATTTATATAAAAATTCTAAGAAAGATTTCACCATAAATGATGTAAATCATCGTGCGTACAATATTTTCCTAGAACATTTCAGCAATATTGCAACAACATTGCAACGCAATATTACTGGAATGTTCCGTGCTATCTGGATTCCGACTACCACTTCCTTTGCTAAGTGTTTAAAATAGATAGCCTCGAAAGTGCGAAAAATAACGGCGTGAAATATGGTGGAATCACCATCGCGTTGTACGTACGCACATTAATTTACAACGCAAAAGATCGGCGGTAAAATTACGGTTATATGTTGTAAAATGTAATTTGTTCGTTGACTCTACCTCCATACCTGGGGTAAAATTACCAAAGTCATTCATATTTGTCTTTTCAGAAAACGCAAATAATCTTTTCTATCGTTAAAAATGCTGGCTTTATGCAAGCAGTAGATAAAACAACTATCTGTGCACAAGCTTATCTTGTTTCGAATAATTTTATTTGAAGAAGAAATATCTTAAAACACACTTTGCGATAAGATATCTTGTTTCTGATGAAATACAAAATTTTCATTCTTACTGATATTATATATCAAATAATGCACTTTACAACAAGAAGGTATCTTTTTCATACAAAATCATTTCATGGAAGGGTGCAAACGATTTTTATTTACTGCATATGATTAATGAAAAGTCTTGTTATTAAAAAAAATAATGGATCTAATAAATCTAGATCTAATGGTTCTAATTATGGATCTAATAAAAAAATCACACAATATAAATATTTAATACAAGTATTTGGTTCAGCAATATAATTTATCCAATACTCATTATTTCTTAATTAAATTTAAAGGAAAGATATCTCAATTCTAAGAATAAATAAATTTTGTATAATAATATAATAATTTAACAGCTCATAATGACTTTATGATATTTTTAAATCGCAGATATCGAATTCTGATCTCTCAAAGCGTTGGAATAAAGGAAATCACACAACCCAGGATTTTCTCTCTTCAGAAGTTATCTCGGACCGCGTCGGCTTACTTCTCTTTCAATTAGAAGGCGGGTTTTGCCTTCGGTCCTCGTGATTTATGAAATCGCGTCCGCGACGGACGCCGTAGATTTACTGCAACAGGAATATGGATTTATGCGCGCGAACGCGTCCCGGACGAGATACAGGCACGGTATGCAAATACGTTCAATGCGTTTTGTCAAAGTCCGCGGGCTAAAAGGAGGTGGGCAGCAGAAATTTACAGGTGCCACCGTGCCTATACTCTGGAGGAGAAGGAGGCAAGGTCGAAGGAATCAGATTCCCGGCCGGGATATCGATCTGGCGATCGCCGTTTCCAGGCGCGAAGACGTAAAAGAGATGGCTTAATGAAATTAATTAAGACCTCCCCATCTTTCTTTCGCCGTGGCGATTTGATCGCGCGAATTTGAAACTCTTTTGCGTCGGTTTTATGTATAATTATTTCGGTCCAACAAAATTATTTTCAGATTTGTATCCATGCTAAATTTTTAGATACTTTAGTCTTATAAAACAGTCTTTTCTACATCTTTTTAAATATCTCTCAGGAAAAATTGTTTTTTAAGAACACAATTAAAATATATACTAGAATTTCTTCTTATATCTTCTGCATATCTGAGACTAATTCGTATTAACTTTCTCTAAGTATTTTTTAATCGATTTTGATTTCTAGGCATTTTCACGCTTATCTGTAATTATGATAAACCATTTTTTTAAGGATCACGTTTAATTTTATCGAAGTTACGGTGTACGCGTATACGATAATAAAAATGTCAACGTCCGGCTATTTTCATCGCGAAAGGCAATTAAAACATAGGAAATAATAAGTGCAATTGTAAAATTAATATGTTTTATATTTTCAGAGACTGAAGGAATTATTACAATAATTAAGATTGATCTGCATTTTATCGTTAAAGATATGTAAAAGATATTTGCTGCACCGAAAATTCGTGGAACGTATTTTTCTTGCACGCAAATAATTTTTACATTTAACTTTTACCCCTAGAGGCCAGGGTTGGGTAAGTTAACTTTTTTTTAAACTAAGTTAAGTTAAGTTAAGTTAACAGTTTTGAAAATTTATTTTAACTAAGATACAAGTTAATCCATAGTGAAATTAATTTAATTAAAAGTTAAGTTAATAAAAAAAGTAATTGAAAAGTTAAAAGTTAAATTTGATCCGATCAACCAAAAAAAGAAGAAAAAGGAAAAGTTTGATCATTTTACATAATTTTTCGTATTTTTCCTTTCTCACGACATATTTATTAAAGAATCTAGTTATTTTTGTTCACAAGTAACGATTATACAATACAAAATTACTAAATTATATACTCATTATCCTCTCGCATTGTGTCTGAGGATTAACTTAAAAAAAATCAAATTAAAAGTTAATAGTTACCGATAAAATGTAACTAAATTAAGTTAAAATTAATTAACTTTTTAACTTAACTTTTATCTTTTTAATTTAACACTACTCAATCCCGCCAGAGGCCATATCATAATCAGGTTTTTATATAATAGCGGTCTTGGTTCTTGGATGC